CAGACTGACAGTCGAGGAGATGCACTGGAGGAGGGTAGAAAAGGATTTCTGTGTGGTTTTGAATGTCTTTCTTCCCCATTGGGTACTGGGATAAAACCGAGGTTTGTGAAGTGAGAAAATCAGTATAAGAGAGGGAGAAATAACCCTCAATCAAATTTTGGAAAGAAGAAAAATGTGTAACTCAAAGATCATTGAAAAGAACTACATGAAGGCAAAAAGAGCCACTAAGCATACCTGGGTGCACTAGTGCAGGGTGAATAATGCAGCTTGAAGTCCCAGAAGCAGACAGCTGGGTACTGCACTTGCTCCATCAGCTTTGTCAGGAGACGCAGGCCAGCAGCACCTTGGCTGTTCAGGAGGGAGGAGGACCCCAGATCCCACCTCCCACCAGCACTCAGGCTCTTTGCACCCGTACTTAAATTCACAGCAGAGCAGAGGCTCAGATATGACTTGTCCCCATTTACCACAAGGGCTTTGTTGACCAACAGACTGTCACAGCTTTATTTCACAGAACCCCAGCCTGGTTTGAGTTGGAAGGGACACTTAAAGCTCCTCCAGCTCCAACCCCAACCCCTTCCACTGGAGCAGCTTGCTCCAAGCCCCTGTGTCCAACCTGGCCTTGAGCACTGCCAGGGATGGGGCAGCCACAGCTTCTCTGGGCACCCTGTGCCAGCGCCTCAGCACCCTCACAGGGAAGAGCTTCTGCCTAAGAGCTCAGCTCAGTCTCGCTCGGGCAGGTTCAAGCCATTCCCCTTGGCCTGTCCCTACAGGCCCTTGCCCCAAGACCCTCTCCAGGTTTCCTGTAGGCCACATCAAACACTGGAAGCTTCTCTGAGGTCTCCAAGCAGCTCCTCTTCTCCAGGATGAACAGCCCCAGTGTTCTCAATACTGGCTCCATATGGGAGGTGCTCCAGCCCCTGAGCATCCTCGTTGCCTCTTCTTTAGAGGCTGTGGCAGCTCCATGTCCTCCTTTTGTTGCAGACACCAGAGCTGTGTAAAATCCTCTTGACCTTCTCTGACTTCATCATTGTGAAAATGCTTATCAAGGAAGCAATGGAGAGAGTGGTCAGTGCCTTACCTCAAGGCTGAGCCTCCTTTTTGTGGGCACTGCCTTCATTTAGCACAATTTAGACACACAACACCACGGCGCTGTCTAAAACCTGCTATTAAGCTGACTCTTATTTGAATAAATTATTGAAGGCTCAGGCCATGCTTAAAACCACCTGAAGCTGTTTGTAGAGAATCATTCATTGTGCTGGTTCTCCACACCCTGCACTTGCTGTGTGATCTCCTTATCTGTAATAATGACCAACAGTGAGCAATAATGACCAATAATGGCCAGTAATGCTCAATTCCATAATCACATATTCCACATATTCCTCCCTTACCTCCACAGTACTGAAGAGCTCCAAATGTGCTTTCAAACCCTGCAGAGACGTGGCAGCAGCTTTCGCTCCCACAGCCTCCTGAGAGCCCCCTTCACCTCCTTGTTCCTCAGGCTGTAGATGAGGGGGTTGAGGGTTGGGGTGAGGATGGAGTAACACACCGACACCAGCTTGGCCTGATCCCATGAGGATGCCTCATGAGGCTGGACATAGGTGAAGACCCCGGGTGCGTAGAGGATGGTGATGGCAGCCAAGTGGGAGGCGCAGGTAGAGAAGACCTTCATCCTCCTCGTGGCCAAAGGGATCTGCAGGACGGTGTGGAGGATGTAGGTGTAGGACACCAGGATCATCAGGAGAGAGACCATGGCAGTAAACACGGTGTTGTAAAAAAGCAAGACCTCATTTGTGCTTGTGTCTGAGCAGGAGAGCTGCAGGAGGGTGGGCAGCTCACAGAAGAAGTGGTTGATGCTCCTGTTCTGACAGAAGGACAACCTCCCCGCCAGCGTGATGTGCACCAGGGAGGTGAGGAACCCCATGGTGTACACCAGCACCATCATGCCATAGCAACGTGCCCTGGTCATGGTAGTGGTGTAGAGCAGGGGCTTGCACACAGCCGTGTATCGGTCGTAAGCCATTACCCCAAGCAGGAAGCACTCACAGACAGCCAGAGCCATGAAAATAAACATCTGGGCAAAGCAACCCCAAAAGGAGATGTGGCTTCTCCCCATCAGGAAGGTCTCCAGAGCTTTGGGGATGAGAGCAGAGGAAAGGCAAAAATCCATGAAAGATAAGTGGGTCAGGAAGAAGTACATGGGGGTTTGGAGGTGGGGGTCAGTGTTGATCAGCAGGATCATCATCAGGTTCCCCAGCACCATTAAAACATACAGGGATAAGAAGATAGTGAAGATGGTGGTTTGTAGCTCTGGGGCATCAGAGAAACCCAAGAGGATGAAGCTGGAGAGAAGTGTGAGGTTTCCTGTATCCGTCATTTCAACAAGTTGATGGACTTGGATTGAAATGAAATGAATACACGCCTAAGAGAGAAATAATGTGGAAGTTTAGTTGGAGTTTAATCCATAAAGTAAATGCAATAGAAAATGCTGTCTTTGTAATGGTGTATTTCTGTCTGTAGCCCAAGACCTAAAGCCAAAGAGGTGAAAGAGCTCATTACACAGCCTGAAATTAAAAGAGAATAATTCTACCATGATTGATATACACTGCACTAATGATATGCTGAGATACATCATGTCTATCCAAGTGTAAGACATACAATCCAATACATACATCCCCAAAATGTGGCAAACAGAAAAGATCTTTTATTTTCTTCACTGATTTCTGGGAATTTTAAGGATTTTTTCTCTCTTTTTTTGTATTTTTCAGACTGAATCAATGCTCTTCTGTGGCTTCTTTAGTTGTGGTCCATGCTTTTTATCAGAACACAAAGCCATCTACCTGAAATTTGCTTTAAGCTCTAAGTTAATCTGCTTTTGAAGAAACCCACCCTGCATAATATTAAGGGAAAGCAGTGGTCTTGGCTCCAGCAGAGCTTTGCTGTGATTGCAGTGAGCGTTCTATGACCAACCCAAATATCCAGCTAAGGGTGTAAAATAATACCACATATAAACCAAAATTTTAAGGCTTTAGCTTGGATATTCTCATCTCCACCATTCAATTCCTCTGCAGACGAATGATTTAATGGAATATCAATCTATGAATGGCTACATAGCTCCTAAAATACCCCTAAATCTGTTGTAGATGGGATCAGGAATGTGGGATTTTGAAGCAAACCTACCCCCTACTAGAGCACTTGTCATCACATCACAGGCTATCATAGAATGGTTTGAGTCGAAGGGACCTTAAAAGTCATTTAGTCCCAACCTCCTGCCAAGAACCCCCACGCTGCATAAGGTTAAGGGAATACAGTGGTCCTGGCTCAAGCAGAGCTCTGCTTTGATTGCAGTCAGCTTCCTATGACCAACCCAAATATCTGCCTAAGGGTGTAAAACACGAAATATACCATATATAAACCAAAATTTTAAGGCTTTAGCTTGGATATTCTCATGCTAAAATATCGCTGAATCAGTTGCAGATGAGGTCAGGAACGTTGGTGCGTTTGAAGCAGATCTACCCTGTACTAGGGCACTTTTATTCACAACATGGGTTATCATAGGATGGTTCGGGCTGAAGGCAAATTAAAGCTCCGCCAGGCCCATCCCACTGCCATGGGCACCTTCCACTGGAGCAGCTTGCTCCAAGCCCCTGTGTCCAACCTGGCCTTGAGCACTGCCAGGGATGGGGCAGCCACAGCTTCTCTGGGCACCCTGTGCCAGCGCCTCAGCACCCTCACAGGGAAAAACTTCTTCCTTATCTCCAACCTGAATTTCCCTGTTTCACTTTAAACCCATCACCGCTTCCCCTATCTCTACAGCCCCTGATGAAGACTGAAATTAAACATGCCATCGAAAATGTGAGAGGTAGCATGCCCAGGGTCAAACTGAAACCATCACCCATCAAACCCTTTTGTACCTGCTTGGTTAAAGAGGAAGGTGGTGGTGGATGCAGTGCCTGCAGCTCCTTCTGGAGCCCATGCGATGGTTGAAGGAGAGATGCTTGGGAGCAGGATGCTCCAGGCTGGCTGGTGGAGGGGTTTTATCTCACAGGAGGCATTACCTCAGAGGCTTGTGTTGTGCAAACCGTTCTCCCAAAGGACCCTCCTCCATCGGATAATTAGTTTGACTTGATCAGCAAAATAACCTTTCAGTTCCTCTCTCCCCAAACTCCTTCTGGCTGCATCAACACCTCCAAGACCACTTCTCCTGCAGAGGCCTACCCAGGAAGACAGGCCCAGGACAGTTTCCTTTGTATTTCTCCATCTATCACACACCTCTTTCTTTCAGTGTTTCCCTGAGGAAGCCCTTTACATCCAGAGAGATCATCTAATATTGCATTGAAGGGAGCTGAAAACAAACACAACAAAGCATCCTCTATGTGGACGGTTTGTGCTGGTCATAGCGAGTCCTTTCCATCAGATGCATTTATTTCCATACACTTTACTAGTGATTGTACAACAGTCTGCTCACAATCATTGTTCTACATGGCTGCTTTGAGGATATAAAAGGATGAAGTCAGATTTCCCAGTCTTCGTCTGAAGAATCCTGAGTGCCAGTGTGTCCTGAAAGCTTCTCCTAGATGAAGAGATATTATAAAACCCTTAGGAGAAATATTAAATGATAACCTTGTCCCAGACATTTAGAAAACACAAAGGATGGGGCAAAGATGGGAGAAAACCGAGCTATGAAAGTGTGGGGAAGGACGAAATAGAAGTATACATGTGGCTTTAGGTGTTTTCAATGTAAACCTTGTTTTCTGCTGGAAGGCACCAGACTGACAGTCGAGGAGATGCACTGGAGGAGGGTAGAAAAGGATTTCTGTGTGGTTTTGAATGTCTTTCTTCCCCATTGGGTACTGGGATAAAACCAAGGTTTGTGAAGTGAGAAAATCAGTATAAGAGAGGGAGAAATAACCCTCAATCAAATTTTGGAAAGAAGAAAAATGTGTAACTCAAAGATCATTGAAAAGAACTACATGAAGGCAAAAAGAGCCACTAAGCATACCTGGGTGCACTAGTGCAGGGTGAATAATGCAGCTTGAAGTCCCAGAAGCAGACAGCTGGGTACTGCACTTGCTCCATCAGCTTTGTCAGGAGACGCAGGCCAGCAGCACCTTGGCTGTTCAGGGGGGAGGAGGACCCCAGATCCCCCCTCCCACCAACACTCAGGCTCTTTGCACCCGTACTTAAATTCACAGCAGAGCAGAGGCTCAGATATGACTTGTCCCCATTTACCACCAGGGCTTTGTTGACCAACAGACTGTCACAGCTTTATTTCACAGAACCCCAGCCTGGTTTGGGTTGGAAGGGACCTTAAAGCTCATCCGGTTCTAACCCCAACCCCTTCCACTGGAGCAGCTTGCTCCAAGCCCCTGTGTCCTTGAGCACTGCCAGGGATGGGGCAGCCACAGCTTCTCTGGGCACCCTGTGCCAGCGCCTCAGCACCCTCACAGGGAAGAGCTTCTGCCTAAGAGCTCAGCTCAGTCTCCCCTCGGGCAGGTTCAAGGCATTCCCCTTGGCCTGTCCCTACACATCCGTGTCCAAAGCCCTCCTATTGGTTCCTTGTAGCCCCCTTTAGACATCGGAAGCTGCTCTGAAGTCTCCACGCAGCTCCTCCTCTCCACGCTGAACAGCCCCAATGTTCTCAGCCTGACTCCACATGGGAGGTGCTCCAGCCCCTGACAACTCTCGTTGCCTCCTCTGGACTTGCTCCAGCAGCCCCATGTCCTCATTTTGTTGCAGACACCAGAGCTGTATAAAATCCTCTTGGCCTTCTCTGACTTCATCATTGTGAAAATGCTTATCAAGGAGGCAATGGAGACAGTGGTCAGTGCCTCACCTCAAGGCTGAGCCTCCTTTTTGTGGGCACTGCTTTCATTTAGTACAATTTAGACACAAAACACCACGGCGCTGTCTCAAACCTGCTATTAAGGAGCTGACTTATATTTGAATAAATTATTGAAGGCTCAGGCCATGCTTAAAACCACCTGAAGCTGTTTGAAGAGAATCATTCATTGTGCTGGTTCTCCACACCCTGCACTTGCTGTGTGATCTCCTTATCTGTAATAATGACCAACAGTGAGCAATAATGACCAGTAGTGGCCAGTAATCATCAGTTCCATAACCACATATTCCACATATTCCTTCGTTTCCTCCACAGTACTGAAGAGCTCCAAATGTGCTTTCAAACCCTGCAGAGATGTGGCAGCAGCTTTCGCTCCCACAGCCTCCTGAGAGCCCCCTTCACCTCCTTGTTCCTCAGGCTGTAGATGAGGGGGTTGAGGGTTGGGGTGAGGATGGAGTAACACACCGACACCAGCTTGGCCTGATCCCATGAGGATGCCTCATGAGGCTGGACATGGGTGAAGACCCCGGGTGCATAGAAGATGGTGATGGCAGCCAAGTGGGAGGTGAAGGTAGAGAAAACCTTCATCCTTCTCGTGGCCAAAGGGATCTGCAGGACGGTGTGGAGGATGTAGGTGTAGGACACCAGGATCATCAGGAGAGAGACCACGGAGTTAAACACAATGTTGTAAAAAAGCAAGACCTCATTTGTGCTTGTGTCTGAGCAGGAGAGCTGCAGGAGGGTGGGCAGCTCACAGAAGAAGTGGTTGATGCTCCTGTTCTGACAGAAGGACAACCTCCCCGCCAGCGTGATGTGCACCAGGGAGGTGAGGAACCCGATGGTGTACACCAGCACCATCATGCCATAGTAACGCGCCCTGGTCATGGTAGTGGTGTAGAGCAGGGGCTTGCACACAGCCATGTATCGGTCGTAAGCCATTACCCCAAGAAGGAAGCACTCACAGACAATGAGAGCCACAAAAATATACATCTGGGCAAAGCAACCCCAAAAGGAGATGTGGCTTCTCCCCATCAGGAAGGTCTCCAGAGCTTTTGGGATGAGAGCAGAGGAAAGGCAAAAATCCATGCAAGATAAGTGGGTCAGGAAGAAGTACATGGGGATGTGGAGGTGGGGGTCAGTGTTGATCAGCAGGATCATCATCAGGTTCCCCACCACCATTAAAACATACAGGGATAAGAAGATAGTGAAGATGCTGGTTTGTAGCTTTGGGGCATCAGAGAAACCCAAGAGGATGAAGCTGGAGAAAAGCGTGAGGTTTCCTGTATCCGTCATTTCAACAAGTTGATGGACTTGGATTGAAATGAAATGAATACACCCCTAAGAGAGAAATAATGTGGAAGTTTAGTTGGAGTTTAATCCATAAAGTAAATGCAATAGAAAATGCTGTCTTTGTAATGGTATATTTCTGTCTGTAGCCCAAGACCTAAAGCCAAAGAGGTGAAAGAGCTCATTACACAGCCTGAAATTAAAAGAGAGTAATTCTACCATGATTGATATACACTGCACTAATGATACGCTGAGATACATCATGTCTATCCAAGTGTAAGACATACAATCCAATACATACATCCCCAAAATGTGGCAAACAGAAAAGATCTTTTATTTTCTTCACTGATTTCTGGGAATTTTAAGGATTTTTTCTCTCTTTTTTTGTATTTTTCAGACTGAATCAATGCTCTTCTGTGGCTTCTTTAGTTGTGGTCCATGCTTTTTATCAGAACACAAAGCCATCTACCAGAAATTTGCTTTAAGCTCTAAGTTAATCTGCTTTTGAAGAACCCCCCCCCTTCCGCACAATATTAAGGGAAAGCAGTGGTCTTGGCTCCAGCAGAGCTTTGCTGTGATTGAAGTGAGCGTTCTATGACCAACTCAAATATCCAGCTAAGGGTGTAAAATAATACCACATATAAACCAAAATTTTAAGGCTTTAGCTTGGGTATTCTCATCTCCACCATTCAATTCCTCTGCAGACGAATGATTTAATGGAATATCAATCTATGAATGGCTACATAGCTCCTAAAATACCCCTAAATCTGTTGTAGATGGGATCAGGAATGTGGGATTTTGAAGCAAACCCACCCCCTACTAGAGCACTTGTCGTCACATCACAGGCTATCATAGAATGGTTTGAGTCGAAGGGACCTTAAAAGTCATTTAGTCCCAACCTCCTGCCAAGAACCCCCAAGCTGCATAAGGTTAAGGGAATACAGTGGTCCTGGCTCAAGCAGAGCTCTGCTTTGATTGCAGTCAGCTTCCTATGACCAACCCAAATATCTGCCTAAGGGTGTAAAACACGAAATATATCATATATAAACCAAAATTTTAAGGCTTTAGCTTGGATATTCTCATGTTAAAATATCGCTGAATCAGTTGCAGATGAGGTCAGGAACGTTGGTGCGTTTGAAGCAGATCTACCCTGTACTAGGGCACTTTTATTCACAACATGGGTTATCATAGGATGGTTCGGGCTGAAAGCAAATTAAAGCTCCTCCAGCCCCATCCCACTGTCACAGGCAGGGACTTCTTCCCTGGAGCAGCTTGCTCCAAGCCCCTGTGTCCAACCTGGCCTTGAGCACTGCCAGGGATGGGGCAGCCACAGCTTCTCTGGGCACCCTGTGCCAGCGCCTCAGCACCCTCACAGGGAAAAACTTCTTCCTTATCTCCAACCTGAATTTCTCTGTTTCACTTTAAACCCATCACAGCTTCCCCTATCTCTACAGCCCCTGATGAAGACTGAAATTAAACATGCCATCGAAAATGTGAGAGGTAGCACACCCAGGGTCAAACTGAAACCATCACCCATCAAACCCTTTTGTACCTGCTTGGTTAAAGAGGAAGGTGGTGATGGATGCAGTGCCTGCAGCTCTGTTTGGAGCCCATGCGATGGTTGAAGGAGAGATGCTTGGGAGCAGGATGCTCCAGGCTGGCTGGTGGAGGGGTTTTATCTCACAGGAGGCATTACCTCAGAGGCTTGTGTTGTGCAAACCGTTCTCCCAAAGGACCCTCCTCCATCGGATAATTAGTTTGACTTGATCAGCAAAATAACCTTTCAGTTCCTCTCTCCCCAAACTCCTTCTGGCTGCATCAACACCTCCAAGACCACTTCTGCAGAAACCTACCCAGGAAGACAGGCCCAGGACAGTTTCATTTGTATTTCTCCATCTATCACACACCTCTTTCTTTCAGTGTTTCCCTGAGGAAGCCCTTTACATCCAGAGAGATCATCTAATATTGCATTGAAGGGAGCTGAAAACAAACACAACAAAGCATCCTCTATGTGGATGGTTTGTGCTGGTCACGGAGAGTCCTTTCCATCAGATGCATTTATTTCCATACACTTTACTAGTGATTGTACAACAGTTGGGTCAAAAGCATTGTTCTACATGGCTGCCTTGAGGATATAATAGGATGAAGTCAGATTTCCCAGTCTTCATCTGAGGAATCATGAGTGCCGGTGTGTCCTGAAAGCTTCTCCTAGATGAAGAGATATTATAAAACCCTTAGGAGAAATATTAAATGATAACCTTGTCCCAGGCATTTAGAAAACAAAAAGGATGGGGAAAAGAGGGGAGAAAACCGAGCTATGACAGTGTGGGGAAGGAAGAAGGAGA